GTAACAATTAAAATAGCAGGGGTATTTACAATTTTCAAATCTTTACTAATTTTTGTATTGAATCGAGGGTATTACCTCTGATTTCCAAATGATCTCGTTTTTTTATGGGGCAGGGTGGTAGTCTTTTATTGTCCACGAGTGAACCCAAAATGATCCTTCAAGTCCCAACTGTAAACAAACCCAAATCCAAATCATCCACAGAATCACAGAATGAAAAGAAGAAGAAGAAGAAGTTCCGTACCTTGAATCTCTATTAAATAACTTCCGTAGGTTGAATCTCTGTTGAAAAAGTTTTGTAGTAGAGAAGAAGAATGAGTGTCATCATCTATATGTGTCCTATTTGTTTTGTCTTTGACTGAAGAAAGCATTGGAGTTTGGATTTTGACTCTGCACTTGCAATCGTATGTGACAGCTGTTACTGTGAGAGTTGAGAGGTGAGAGTTTGAGAAATGAAAAGCTTGACCGAATGAGGGTTTTTTCGATTTCCCTATTTTTGGTAATTGAGACAAAACCATCCTATAGCGGGGACCATGATTGAGACAAAACCATCCTCACCAACGGAATTCATTAAAACTGTATAATAATATATATAAATTTAAATATATACAAGCTCGAAAGTTCATGTATTCAAATGTTCAAAATTCCATTTAGACCGAACCGAGCTCAAATAACTCATGAATAACTCGAATCGTATCCACCCCTAGACACATGACATCAATTATGAAAACAATGGCACTGGAGGAGTCAAACATGTTTCCTGTTTTTCCAATTCTAATGCCGAGATGAATACATTTAGAAACAATAATTCAAATGCTTTATGAGGAAAGTACCAAGGAAATTATCAACGGTTTCCTTTTTTTTTTACTTTGCATGGAAATTAAGAATCGGCATATTATATGATATTTCATCCTGGCCTATAATGACAATTAATGTAAAAGTATCTGTGTCCATTCTGTGGTGTGAATTTCCTTTGATGCATGCCTAGTTACATTTTTAATGAGGCTATCATATAGATCGTCTAGTGCATGGTTGCATTTTGAATCCATTTAAAGCCATGCAAATGGTGAAATGGTAGTTTTTTATTGGACAGTTGAGTTTGGTTTAATGTGAAACTACCAACTTTTTATGCTTCCAACCAAAATCTTCCTTTAATTTGAGATTATTGAAATCTTCTTGACCCTTGATGCAAGTTATAAAATTCATGGGATGTAGATTCCTAGTAATGCAAGAGTGACTGAGTGAGAGGACATTAATAACAGCATATTCCTCTTGTGGGCTCCACTGCAACCATGAAATTAAAAGAAAAAAGCAAAAAAAAAACAGAATTCTTATGCTCCATTTGCCAATATCATATCCTAAGCCAACTGGATCTGCATCCCACATAGCAGTCATTATGTCTAAGAGTATGGGTGTCAATTGACCGGTTTTTGATTGGATCCAATCCGATCTAAATCTTATCAACTCGGATTTGGATAGTTCATTATAATCGTTGGCATGGGTAAATCTAAAATAAATTGGTCCATATTATTATTGCTCTAAATTGAACTTAAACCAAATTTCCAATAATCTGATCATGAGGCCAAATTCTTGTCCAATTTGAAACCGATCAAAATTGAAGCTGGCATAAAATCACTTTTATGAAAGTACTTTTATGAAAACACTTTTACAAAAGCACTTTTATAAAAGTAATTTTATGAAAAGTAGCACTTTAATAAAAATACTTTTATAAAAGCACTTTTACAGAAACAGTTTTATAAAAACACTTTTACGAAAGCACATTAATAAAAGTGCTTTTACGAAAGCACTTTTGTAAAAGTACTTATACACGAGAACACTTTTATGAAATCACTTTTACAAAAGAACTTTTATAGAAGCACTTTTGTAGAAATACATTTATAAGAGCACTTTTACGAAACCACTTTTATGGAAGTACTTTTATGAAAGCCTATGAAAGTACTTTTACAAAAGCACTTATACATAAGTATTTTTATAAAAGCACTTCTATGAAAGTAATTTGTAAAAGAACTTTTACGAAGTACTTTCATAAAAATATATGAGAGCACTTTTATGAGAGTAATTTTATTAAAGTACTTTTATGAAAGCACTTTTACAAAAGTACTTTTTCAATGCCAAAATGGTATATTTTTGTAATTTTCAGATTTTCTTCATTTTGATATATTTTTATAATTTTTTATATAATTGTTTATATTTCATTCAGTTTGGATTAGATCCAATCTAATCCATTTACATTTTAATGGATTGAATTGGATTTGGTTTGTATTAGATTTGGAAGGATGAATCCAATCCATCTATAAGTGGACTCACATTGGACTGAATCGGGTTGGACCAAATCCAGTCCAATTAACACCTGGGCTGAAGAGATATTTCGTTTGGTGAAGAATAAATTTTAATGAATTAGGTGGATTTCCATTAAGTTTTATGATTCAAATAAGTTATTAATGCAATGGTGGGAATGAATGAAAGTTCAATCCAAACCCAACCAGCTGAACCCGCCCAACAATAGAGCCGGATACGATGAAGGGTGGTTTATTTATTGTAAAAAATCTATCCTACAAGAATATAATGATGTTTTTTGTGCATATTTATAAATTTATTAAGTAAAGTTCCAACTAGAACCAGGGCTGACCTCAACAGGAACCTATCCGGCCTGAACTGCTGTCCTACCCTACACTAGTTCACTATACATGGAGCAAGCAAGAATACTTTGTGTGGTGCAGTGGTGCTCATTAATTGCGTGGAATGTTCTTAGTTATCTTCCATGATCCGTATAATAGTGTACCATTAATTGTTGATTAATTAACAGAATGATTGATGAGAAAAAAAACACTAATTAAGATGGCATTTAGAATCAAGATTAGGTTCGACTGGCCAGCAGAAACCTAATTAGCCTCCGAATATCTTGATTAATTGAATATCGGAGCAATGATGAACAACCAACCAAAGTCGTCTGCCTGACCATGACCATGGAAGATCACATCACATCAACGGAATGATCTAACCACCGGCACAGGGCTTAGCAAACAACCATTGTCAGTCGCGGCATAATTGACCAACATTCTATTGGATAAGAATGTCCAACTGATGCAAACTTTGCACCGGCTCAATAGAATGTCCAACATTCTATTGGATAAGAATCTCCTCGTACTCGATCATGTAGTGCAGTGCTTGTCATTCTGTTAAGTATACTTAAAATTATATTGTAATGTTGCCCGTGTATCACATCGATTCTCATGACTTGAATATGACGTTGCAAGATTCCTAACTCAACATTGACCTCCCCTTGAGCAGGTTTTTGTTTGGGTAGAAATATGTACAAAGAGAGCCCTTGAGCAGGGTTTTGTTTGGGTAGAAGCGGATATACTTTCTAGCAAGTTTATATCTCAAGAGGCTTCTCTGAAGCAGTTCAGCCAATACATCTCAATCAATACAGAAGCCCCTCTTGAGTCTTAATTAATTTTCTCCCCAGCATTACTGCATTACTCTCTCTAATATAAGATCACATATGGTCAATGTTTATAACATTTTCCCTCTTCCATTAAATCACTCCTTTCCTCTTAAATTTCTCTTATATCCTTTTTTATTCTCTCTAATTAGGGCTACAACTTGACTGTATTTGGGTTGAGCATTTGCTAAAATATAAATATAAATATATATATAAATCTCGATCCAAACTATAGTCAAAATTTAAATTTATCAACCCAAACGTAATTAAGTTTCTTGGGAAAGTTTTTCACCACCTAAGACTCCGTTTGGTTTGTGGGAAGATTTAGGTGGGATGGGATGGGATGGGATGGAAAAATGTAAAAAATTAAGTTTCCATTGTTTGGTTTTATTGGAGTGGGATGGGATGGGAAAATGTAAAAAGGGTCACCTTCGTCCTCCTCTCGATCAAATAGAAAGGCAACTAGGAAGAGAAGCGGTGGATCTGAATCCATCTCCGGCTTCCCTCTCCCGCTCTCTCTCCCTGATCTTCTTCTCTCTTCTCCTTCTTCTTCCCCTCTTCCCCCATTTTCTCTCTCGCTCCATTTCGTCACTGCTACTACAAGTTGCAATAGCGGTAGATCTGCGCGTCCTCTCTCTAATCTCTCTCTCTCTCTCTCTCTCTCTCTCTTTCTTCTTCTTCTTTGGCTTCTTTTTCGTTTTTCGTCACCACTACTCTGGTTTGCTTTGCCTGCGTGTCACCGTAGCCTACGCATCACCACTGCCTGGTTCACCATAGATCTGGTGGAAGACGGGAAGAAGGTGAGAGAGAAGAGAGAAGAAGAAGAGGGTGGTTCTTTGACTTCTTTCAGCTGTAACAGTGTTTTTCCAAGATTTTTCATCGAGGTCGTACAGTTTTGGTGCGACTCCAAATTCATGATTTTCGGAATGAGAAAAAAAAGAATATTTTCAGAATATTTCTTTTTTCTCATCCCCATCCTACAAACCAAACGGAGCATAAGATATTTAGCCCATGAAAACCCAGAGAAAAATATTTGTTTTATAAAAAAAAAAAGGTTGGAACTTGGGAGAAATAGCTAGACATATGTCGGTATGTATATACCTACGGCAAAGAAGCTAATTTAACTGACATAACACTCCAATATGAAATTAAACTATTATTAAGAAAGATCCTAGCTTGTTAAGTCAAAGAACAAGGAAATTAAAGAAGCATAGTAATGGGCTAAGATTTGATTGATGTCTGCTTTCCAAACTCAACAGGGGTTATACTGGTCTGGCGACTGGCGTGATTTCTTCGTGTTTCATTTTATAATTTATTGATTCCTATATGATTAGTCGTTTATTTTTATATATGCTGAGTTCATAATAAAAAAATGCAATTAATAAAATAGAAGCAACAAGTACAACTAATCCCCTTTGTTTTTTCAGTTGGGAATCTCACTTTTAAAATTTCAAACTTTCTTCATTCCTTCCCCAGAAAAATCTTATATATCGGAATTCAGAAAGAGGGGCCTCATCAGTTCATCTATCTCTTCCGAGTCCCAATTCGTTTCAGTGCTGCAGAGAATAAGTTAATTAGTTATACCCAGAGAAGGCGGTGATCAATGGGGTGCAAGTCTTGCGATAAGCCGAAGCCGAAGCACCGGAAAGGGTTGTGGTCGCCGGAGGAAGACCAGAGGCTCAGGAATTACGTCCTCCAACACGGCCATGGCTGCTGGAGCACCGTCCCCATCAAGGCCGGTAAGTTAGTAAATCACTCTTAGCTTGCACAAGCACAATTGCACCGATTTGCATTTCATCGAGCACCTACGTTGCATGCATCAGTGCATTGGTTCTCTAACGCCCGAGACGACGGAAAAGACGTACAGAACTCCGCTTTATAGTTTGACATGTACAGCCCCAACAAGAGATTGCTGTGGTAGCAGCTGGGGCTTCCCTGCTCCTACTTTCCTCCCGGAGTTCAGGTTCCTGATGAGCACGTCAGATAGAGAGAGGGATACTTGTAGAAAATGATTACCGACATGGGCATTTTGGTCAGTTTGTGGGAATAAAAGCACGCTTTGGAACTCAAGGCGTAATGGAGTCAAAGTTTATATTTAATAATAATCATCAACAAGTGGCTCATTGCATGCACTCTCTATTCTCTAATCGGTCCCCAATATCTGTGGTGATTCATAGGATGACTAAAATACCCTCATGTTTAACGCTTATGCCGTTTTTGTCACATTATTAGGCTTGCAACGAAACGGGAAGAGTTGCAGACTACGGTGGATTAATTACTTGAGACCTGGCCTGAAGCACGGCGTCTTCACCATCCAAGAGGAGGAGACGATTTTGTCCCTCCATCGCCTGTTGGGAAACAAGTAAGCCAATATGATCGAACAGAGCTTTTTCTTTTTCTTTTTCCATGTTTTTCCCCTCAAATCACATCGTTAGACGCTAATAATGGAGTAAATCGAACATTGATCAGGTGGTCACAGATTGCACAGCATTTGCCCGGGAGGACTGATAATGAGATAAAGAACTTCTGGAATTCGTACCTGAAGAAGAAAGTCATGAAGGTCGAAGCTTTGGAATTAGCTCAAATCAATTCCCAGTTGCTCAACTCAGCTCCAAAAACCGAAGAATATTCTATGCAGACAATAAATCCCAACACACAGCAAGTTTCGAGCTTCCAATCATTCCAACAGATGGAAGATTCCGCTGTTGATGCAGACCGATCTGTTCCACTTCCACATGCTCCCGATGACAAGGTAGCACTCCAGAGTTCCCTCCCGAGGCTTTTGTTCGCTGAATGGCTGTCATCGGACCACATCAATAACCGGAACTTTGTAAACTCCGGTGGGACGATGGCGATTTCAAGTATGATGTCCGACAATTCGAACCCGGACTATGCGTTCAAACATAATTTGTTACGAGATGACGGACAATTTGGAAATGAATTCCGTAGTGGTTTAAGTAATGGTGCCGCCACCTACAATCAGAAGTTCCCCATACAACTGGAACAGGAGATCAATCATCAGATCCCTGCAGTAGGGAATGGAGTATTTGATTTTGTGTCCATGAGTGATATCTGTAATGATTTCAATATGACACATGATGTCATTTATTGATGTAATTAATTAAATCTCAAATGGTTATGATTTTGAGATTTCACTTATATCATCCACCAATAAAACATTACTTTGTTTTTCGTTATTGTCTGAACTCAGTTGAAGACTCATCGTTGGTGATCAATGACAGCATACTCCAAGGTCCTCACAAGTCACAATAACGTGATAACTTGTAAGAAAACTCTGACTGATATCCCTGAGCTAATATCCATCTGAGCTCTGTATACATCACAGTCACAGCACAAAGGTTTACATCGGCAAACACACACAGCATGTATATTAAAAAAAAGAAAATGGCAAAGAAATGGGGAAAGGGTTCTTAAATCGCCATCATCACTTCATCTCTGGGTTTACCTACGTACGAAGGTAAAATATTTCACAAAGAACAGAGAAAATAAAATCAAAACTTACTATTTTGTTGGTTATTTTCTGAGTTTGGTTGTAATATTACAATTTTATTTGCACTAATATAAATGCATGAGAATAATACAAATTCTGGTTTAATTTTGTTTTGGGTTTTAATTTATTCTTCTTCAGGTTTTGTTTTATTTCATTTATATTACTGTAATTAAACAAAAGAAGGTGAAATTTGAACAAATTAAAATAAATCAGAATTTGCACCCAAAAACATTTGTACCACCATGGTTTTGCATAGATGTATAAATTTGCGCTGCAACCAAACGCAGGGGCTTTGATTTTAAGTGTTAGTTTCATTGACTGTAGAATGTGGTATAATTTACTTTTTTGCTTCATATTTGACTTTGTTTTATTTGTTTGTAATGAGAAGTAAATTGATGTGATTATCACCTTATATGAAATAGAGGTAAGAGGAGAGTTGTTTGTTTGGGAGTGAGACAATAAGCAAGATGATATGGTTCCCACTTTATATGAGAGGGAATTGATGTAAAGGTGATACAAATTATGCAAAACTTGTACTGTCAGTGAGTACAAATGAGATAAGATAAAAGTGTAGTTCGTAGTTACATAACAACCAGATATAAAATCCGAAACTAGGTGCAAATTTGCACTGCAAACAAACAGAGCCACCGAGGCTCTAGAGTCCACAGATTCACCCTACGGAAAAGCCAAAAGCTGACGTATTCAAAAGAAGAATCGCTTTCTAAGATCACCCAAATGCAAATAAGAATTAGAATTATAACCCTCAAGACATTCATAACTATAACTGTCCTCGTCAATGCTGACTGGATCTGGACTTAAAATCCAAACTATCTTCAATAACAGGAAAGCCCATTAGGTCATCCATAGAGAAAAAAAAATATATACATAAAGATGAGAAGAATAAGAAGAGTTACGAACATATTGATTTCTTTTCATTTTTTGTAGTAGTAGTTGAATTGATCTAATTTGCAATATCGCTACTTGTTTGGTGGAAATTAACTGGCATGGTGGCTTGAATTAGATAAACAAGTATTCTATTTGTTCGGGCCTCAACTTGGGTTGGATGGGCGGAGGTTGGATTTTTGCCAAATTTTAAATGGTCCCAACCCAAAACACAAGTCCGGAGCAGTGTAAAATGTGGTTAACTTGGGCCAACCCGAGTTTTGTGTCAACGGAACAGTTAGCATGGTTATGAATATGAACAATTTCAAATAAATCTGTAGTACACTGAAATATAGTTGGAGAAAAAGGCCTTTAAACAAACTTATAAAAGTGGGCTTACTTTGTGCATGTGGCGAAGATGCGGGTTGAAATTTTAATAATGAATAGACAAAAGTGGGCTTACTTTGTGCATGTGGCAAAGATGCGGGCCAACATCTCTAAGGGATGATGCAGTGCAATCGTGGCATCAACTTATCATCTAATGTCAAAAGTAACGATAAAACCTACAAACATAATAGAAATGAATAACCAGCCCGAGCGAGCCTCAATGATCTGACCCGAACTACAAAGCCTTACTATAGATCGAGCTTTTATGGCCCCCTTGAGAGTTGGAAGCGAGCTGAAAGTGAAACCGCTCTCATAGATCAAGCCCCTTATGGTTCCCGTAGGAGTAGGCAACATGTAGACAGCAAAGCTGACCCCTTAGGGTGAGCCTCACATGACTCCAATAGGAGTAGATGGTCAGCGGTTCCAGGAGCAGTATGCTAGGATCTTGCAAGCACCTTCCTAAGGAAGCCAATCTCAAGTGACGATGAAGAAGTAGCCACATCTAAGGGTACAACAGAATGGCCACCCGCTTAAGCGAACAGGTCAGGCCGCACATCGGCTAAATAATGATGAGGAGAGTGCACTATGAGTTGCTCCTAGAGCCTAAGGGATAAGGTGCTGAATTGGTAAAAGGCCTCAGCACCACATACGACTTAGTCGCCTCTTTGGCATGAGCAAGATCAAGGATAAGGAGAGTGGACCACGAGTCGCTCTCAAAGCCCAAGGGCTACAACACCAAGTGAAAAGTGACCTCGGTGCTAAACACGAATAAAACCCAGCCACCTCCTCGGCATGGGCAACCCAATTGTCTCTTTGGCATGGGAGAAATAAAAAGCAGTTCGCATTCAGCACGAGAAAGAGAACAAAGGAAAAACTACTTTGCTTTCAGCACCATGATAGACTCAAACTTGGTTGATCTCTTTACAATAGGCCTCCACCTCGGTTTCAGGCTCCACATCGAACTTGCTGGCTACTTTTTTGAGCACCAGCTCGAGGGACACTACATCGAAGTCTACCTAGGTGGAGTGACCTGATAAAGTAGTCACACAAAACCCCTTCTTAAGGACGACATGATGAGCTTCGCTCTTGAGGTACTTAGCCGGATTGCAAAATTCCTTGATGGTCCCATCCCTAAAAAGGTAGATGTCCTCGGGTACTTGCTCCACCTCTCCTCGAGCAGATGAATTCGCTCTCGTGCTCTGATAATCAAGACTGCGAGGTCCTACGTAAGGCTGCAAGCACTTGGACTCTTTCGACTTGAGGAGCAAATTCGATTGATGCCAACGACTACGAGCTCGTCAAACAGTCATTCCAGGCAAAAGGAACAATCTACTCCCTTCATCAAACTGCCCTCAGCTCGGGAGTGGGGGCAATTATTGAGGGTGGATTTGGCCTCCAATGACATTGTGACACATGGCTTCTTGGAACAGTTGAATGACACATAGACACCACCTAAGCAGTGACTTGGAGTCCTAGATCACTGTTTCTCTTCGCCCCGACCTGGCAACCTGCCTTCACCGCCAACATGGCGACCTCGACCACAACTCAGGTCAGCTAGAAGCACCTCGTCCAGGGCCGAAATATAGCACCTCATCACTAGCCAAAGTGACCTCGACGTGAGGAGCAACCTCCCTCGAGGGCGTGCTGGCCTGCTTGAGGACCAAGTGGCAACCTGCGAGATGTGCTCACCGAAAAACTCGACATGCATATCTCGACACTCCCACATTTCTCAGAAGTTGGCCCACGTACCGAACGTTTCGGAGGGTGGTCAACTTGCATGGTGGTTACCTCTGAGGGTTTCGGACCAGTTAGGCATGACCTCTCGGAAATCTCGGATGCACTGCGTGAGGCCCACACCGAATAATGCCTATATAAAAGCACCAACCCCATAGACTCAGAGGAGAAGGTGCGTGTGATTATTTGCTCACTAGCTTACTAGCATACAAACTTTTAGCTCGCACAACCCAATACTTAAGCATTGGAGCGACATCGCTGGGTTAGCCACCCCAAGTTCTTTGATCTGTTTTCTTGTAGTTCGAACCAGCTCACTGCGCAACCAGCTTTCAGGTCATCTTCCAGCTAGGAGCTTCCAGATCATGCACGATCAGTTTCCAAACGCAGCCTTAAGAGCACGAAATCCAGCAACCACACAATCTGGGAAATCCCATCTCATTGGAGACTGCTTTAAGCTCCCAACTAATGAGTCAAGTGTAAGATTACATGGTTTTTACTTTTAGGTTGTATGTGTTTGGTTTGAAAAAAAAAAGGTTTTCCTACATTTCCCTTCCTTTCCATACCTTTTCTATCAAAACAAATTCAGCCTTAGGAAAACTTGAGGACTAGCAAAACCATTCTAGAGGGTTTTCCTACAAGATCTTCCCTATTTCTGCCATAGCTGGGGAAAATATATATGGCCAATCCAAACCTGAATTCAAATCTAATTGAATATTCAAATATATAAATGAATTGAATTCAAAATCTATGTTTTACATATCCATCATATATTGAATTGATTTCAAATCTCTCAAATTTTTACCAGAACGAGTTTAGATATATCCTTGTCCAAATTCAATCCAATTTGTTTGGAGCCCTACAAATTTCCCTTTTCAACCATTTTTTTTGACAAATATCTTAAAGTACCTCTACGTTTTGGAAATTGGCTTACTCATCCTTACTTTTAGAAATTTCCTTAAAGTGTCCCCAAGTTTTCTGACAATCAATTAAATTTTTCCCTGTCATTAGTGTGCATTAGCGAAAATTTGTAAAAGACTATATATTTTATGTATCATTATTCTTTAAATTTTCAAAATGAAACATTTTAATTGCACCTTGTTGGTCTTGTCCTCATGGAAAACTTTTCTTTGTTGGTAAAGCTTACCAACAGATGGATATGTCCAATGCATGAAACCATTTGCAACCCAAAAACTAGATGATATCATCATCTCCTTTTTCTATTGCTGCAAAGACCTCCGAACAGGTGAATAGGAGGGATCATCTCCCACCCAAAAACTAGATTTTTTAGGATGCCATCTTAACTCTAGCTAACTCCATGTTCATATGCTTCCATGAGTAAGTAACTAAATATTATAATATCTATTTGTCAAGGTCAAAATAGCATGCAGAACCAAGGTTTTTAAAACCGATCCGGACAATGAACTAGTCAGAGGTCTGGTTCCTGGGTCGAACAGTCCAATCACTCGAACTGAATAAATGGCCCATTTTGACAAAAAAATAAAAAAGTTCAAAAAAAAATTAAAAAATAAAAAGCGGCCAAACCATTGAACCAATCAAACGGTTCGACTGCCCGAATCAGCAGTTTGCTGATCAAATCAATGATTTTGGGGAAAATAATAATTCTGGAATAAAACAAAACCGGTCACCTGACTGGCTCC